ATTCTCGTAGCTTCATAAAATTACGGTTGAACCACTGATGTCACATGGACTATTTTAACGAATTCCTAACTACCTTTCTGAACCTTGAACATGTCAGTTCCCTTGCTGTCTATGGAGGGTCAGAAAGCTCTCGGATTTCATTAAAAATATCTTAATTTGTGTTCTGAAGATGAACGACGGTCTTATGGGTTTGAACAACATGAGGGTGAGTAATTAATAAAATAATTTTCATTTTTGGGTGAACTATCCCTTTAACCTAGCATAAAAAGTAGTGAGTTTAAAAAACATCAAATGTTTGTATCTCTCGGAAATTGTGATTTTGGTCTCACATAAGACTTAATTATTGAATTGGTATTCAGTGTTCAGTTTCAGTTTGTTTTTAATGATTAACTCAAAGCTGAACCATTTAAACATGTTACTAGTGTTGTAAGAAAACAATCAAAGAAATATTTATATTTATGTAAAACAGAAATGTATCATTACTTATAGTAAATCTTTTAAAATAGTTTAAACAGTGTCTATTTAATTTAATTGTTATATTATATTATATTATACATTGGTAACAGGGTTCAAATTTGCAAATGACAGTAAGGGAATAGAAAACAGAACTCATATAATATTAATACAATAAGATCAACATTTTCTAAGCACCTGACCTTTTAAGAAAGGGATTCCAAAACATTTCCTCAGGCATGTTTTGTGACCTTAAATATTTACTTGAACTACCCTCTGAGATTTTCATTTAATATTTTAATAATTTAACAACACATGCACATATTCACATTTCTCAGATGTCAATTAATGTTCAAAAATGTAAAAGAGTTTTCAGTTAAATGCTTTATTTTATTGAATGTGTTCAGTTTTTAGCACTGGATTTATCACTGCAGGTTTTGTAATAGCAGCCTTTTGAGGCTTCATTGCATATTCTAAACAAGACAAAATTTTTGTCTTGTCTAGAATACATAATGAAGCCACAAAAAGCTGTTACTACAAAAACGGTAGTAAGAGTGAAACTGATAACCCAGAACACCTGATTTTCCAGGTCTGAAATGACATCGGGCTCAGAGCAGATGGAAAAGCTTTTTGAAATCTGATACAGGAGTGTGAGACAGAGACTGAGACTGATGGGTAGAGCTGGAGAGTGTGTGACTTTTGTTTTCGGCACACTGAAGTCACACTTACTCACGTGCCACCTAATCACCCCATCACCCCCGTTTTGTGTGGAATCTCATTGTCAAAGCAACTAGTCTCCCATTATGCCTCTCCATCTCGCACAGCAGCACACACTCGTTACGCCCCTCCCTGGGCCTGTGGCAATCTGGTGTCCTGTTTAAAGAGCGGTGGGTCCTAATGGGAGGGCTGGGTGAGGTATGTGCAACAGACAGTGGAGCCGGCAGGTCAATGAGCCGTATTGTCTCTCTTTACAAATGACTGTCAGACACCAGTGCCTGGCCTTCTGCTCCCACTCACTTCACACACTCACACTCGACTCCTCACAGTCACAGTGGGACACGTTTAGGTGCAGACCTCAGGACTGGATTTGTCAGTGTGTCTACAGGTGGCTGAACATTTCAGAAGTTGAGCTTTTGTAAAAAAAAATTAGTCACACAAAGTTGATTCTACCTTTCTTCACAGTAACAGTTGTTTTTTGTTTTGTTTTGTTATTTATAATTTAGTGCATTCATTCACCGGACATTTGTGTAAAATTCAATTTTCTTCTTTAGCACTAAGACAATTCTAAAAATCAAGTAATGCATATATAATACATTAGAATGATTTCTGAAGGATCATGTGACTCTGAAGACTGTCACTGTA